TCTCTCTCTTTCTCTCTCCCTCTCTTTCTTTCTTCCTCTCTTTCACAGACACACGTACGTACAAAGATTTTACCAACATAAGCAGACATAACAAACACTCCAACAACACCCATGATCTACAAAAGTAAGGTCGGTCCCCAAACACCAAAATCCTTCTTTCCGGTTTTCTCAGAAGCGTCACTGGCAGTCTGGTCGCCTATTAGCAGCACCAGTGACTACTATGGGAAACAAACGACATGTCCCATAGGCCCGGCCCGGTTCTAAAACCAACTTCCGGATCCCCTGGGAATTGGTCGGAATCGAACAAGTCCACGACACAAAGGGGATCTCTGGTGTTTCACTATGATGAACTAAGTCGCAGACACTTCTTAAATAGAATTCTTTGCATTGAGTGATCAAAGGTACACAGGGACCGTGAGTCGTCTATCTATCTATCTATTGACAGATAGAAAGACAGATAGATAGATAGATAGATAGATAGATAGATAGATAGATAGATAGATAGATAGAAAGAGAAAGAGAGGGAGAGAGTGGAGTCTTTATTGGGTTTAAACAGCATCCTTTTTCACGGTAAGTTTTTTAAACATGTTACTCGTATTCCTGACCTACATAACATAAGGTTTGATCAGCCCAACTACTTTTAATCATATACAATTTTCAATATGGCTTTGAGTGTCTCGAAAGAGAACGAAGGGTCCAGTTTTCAACATGTGCAAGAATGCTATTTTCAGTAACTGTATAGACCTAATTCATGTTGAATAACAGGTTCTGTCTGTAGCCTTTTGTTTGATATTCTATAGAGTTGCTACGTGTATGGACTTGGTTTGAATCCTAAACAGGTGTTTTCTTTTTAGTTATTTGGGGATCTCTATATCAAAGTCTCTCACCCCTTTGATTTAGTCCTATCGGGGAAGGACGGTAACTTCGGAGGTCCAGTCATTTAGTTGATCTTAAACCGTTTAAAGTCTTTTGACTATAACATATTTACTTTATATTTAATGTGTAGGCATGTGGTAGTAGCACAGACAGCAATTTACAGAGAAAATAGTTCCCAAAAAGATTCCAAGCAAAGTAACCAGAAATATTTGATTCCTTTATGTTAACCATCGTCTACCTCCATTTGCGTTTATTTTCGTTCAGTTTTGTGTTTAGTAAAAGGAATGAAACGGAAAAAATACGACCTTTTCAGAAAAAGCGGAATACAGCAAAGGAAAATCATACGATTTTTTAAAACCATTCTTTGATCAGATGAAGTTTTATTATACTTATACATATAAACCTCGGTGCAGATGGGTTGCAAATATTCGCTCAGGACCCCCGAGTAGGAAAATGCTGTCTTAGCTTTTAGCCTGCCTCTAATTTTGCTATAGCAGATAAAAGTGTCTTCAAAGAATTTGGAGGAAGTATGAGTCACTCAAAGGAACTTATTTTCTTTCGCTTTCTCTTTCTCTCTCTCTCTCTCTCTCTCTCTCTCTCTCTCTCTCTCTCTCTCTCTCTCTCTCTCTCTCTCTCTCTCTCTCTCTCTCTCTTTCTTTATATATATATATTAATATATATATTTATATATATATCTATATATCTCTTTCTCTCTCTCTCTGTATATATATACATATAAATCTTTCTCTCTCTCTCTCTCTCTCTCTCTCTCTCAAACTCTCTCTGTCTCTCTTTCTCCTATTTCGACTTTATCACACTGTTTATCACACACACACAGAGACTGAAGATCGAAGGGTACGATAAATAGACATACTATAGGGGGGGGAGGAGAGAAATAGAAATAAGGATAAAGAGATAAAGCGACATAGTGAGATAAACACATACAGAAAGAGAGAGAGAGAGAGAGAGAGAGAGAGAGAGAGAGAGAGAGAGAGAGAGAAACAAAGACATTACTAGAAACAAAATCCCACTGCAAGTTAATTCATTTACGTATAGACGATGGTGCATTTAAATGAGTCCTTGAAGGTTTGTACTAGAATATTATCAATTTTCAGACTACAAGAACAACAATGAGGAGACTGTAGTGAAGAAATAAAGAAAACTAAAGTGTCCACCAGCGGGGCGGAGCGCGGATTCCGTAGTTACTATAAAGTGAACTCAGTAATTTACAAAATAAGCACACATTCTCAATAAAATCTAAGTTCATCTGTACTTTGAATACTAATTACTTTTCAAGCAGGGCATTTCTGAAAAAGGCCACCAAAAAAAACCCAGCTGTCAATAAACTGCTGGGAAATATATCTTAAAAAGCAGAAAAAAAAGAAATGAATGGACAAATGGCGTTTTCTATTAGATTACGGGATCCTAACAATTTCTCCATTTGTCTTCCCTCCTCTTTTTTCTATCACTGTCTCTTTTCTCTGCTTCTCTCCTTCTTTCTTTCTCTCTCTCAATCTCTCTCTCTCTCTCTCTCTCTCTCTCTCTCTCTCCCCCTCTCTCTCTCCTTTCCCCTCTCTCTCTTCTTATCCATGTTTGTGTGTGCGTGCGTGTGTGTGTGTGTGTGTGTGTGTGTGTGTGTGTGTGTGTGTGTGTGTGCATGCGTGTTCGTTTGTCTGTGTTTGTTCGTTCGTTCGCTCTCTCTTTCTCTGTCTCTCTCTCTCTCTCACTCTCTGTCTCTCTGTCTCTCTCTCTCTCTCTCTCTCTCTCTCTCTCTCTCTCTCTCTCTCTCTCCCATCCTATTCATGATATATCTCTGTCATTGTCTTTATATTTCTCAGTTTCTCCTTCTCTTTCACCTTCCATGCCCCCTATATTTCTCTCTCCCTCTCATCTCTCTCTCTTTCTCTCTCTCTCTCTCTCTCTCTCTCTCTCTCTCTCTCTCTCTCTCTCTCTCTTCTCTTTCTCCCTCTCTTCCCCCCTCTCTCTGCCTCCTACTCAATCCTGAGAGGAAATAAAAAATCTCCTCCTTTGCCCTCCTTGACCCTCGACGCAAAAAATGATTCCCCAATAAATGGGCACTCACAATAAGATTATTACGACACTCAGCACGTGAGATAAGACGTAGACAGCCCCACAACTCAGGGGAGAAAGTCATTCAGCTTATCTGGGAACTGTCCAAATAATCAAAAGCAATTCCGAGGTTGCAGTTCCTCTGGGGCAGCCTTCTTAATTGACCAGAGTGGTCAAGGGTGCAGTCTGGTTGTCCGGATAATGGTGGAGGGTAGAGGAAGTGCTTGCAGACTCACTAGATCTTATCAGAGAATGTGTTAGAGAGACATTTCGTTGTACCAGACTCAATTAACTTTAGGCACCAAATCGTAGTTTTGTCAATGATAGAATAATATTATTAAATGCGTTGAGTACAGTGCAATTCTTCTGGCTGGGAAGTTAGGGATCAGCGTGTCTGTGCGGTTTCCTGAGAGTAGATGCCACAGGTTTTTGGACCGCCAGAATCAATTTGTAAAGAAAGACAAGATTAGACAGTTTCGTTGTAATTTCCTTTTTGTGGGGAGAAGGGTGTGGTGGGGTGGAGGTGAGGGAGGGGGTTGGTCAGTGAGAGTGGTGGGGACGGAGAGAGAGAGAGAGAGAGAGAGAGAGAGAGAGAGAGAGAGAGAGAGAGAGAGAGAGAGAGAGAGAGAGAGAGAGAGAGAGAGAGAGAGAGAGAGAGAGACAGTGCATTACTGGTATTGTATATTAACACTTTTCAATCTCACAAGTCCGCGATATGCGTAATATACAAGAATTTCGATGTGTCTATGTCTGATCAAGGATAGCGGTAGAGGTGCTATACTATGTCTTATCAGAAAATGCGTTAAAGAGACCTTACTTTGTACTAGACTTGCTTAACTTTAGGCACCTTATTTTGTTATTATGGCACAGACAGAATAACGTTACTAAACGCATTAAATACAGTGCAATTGTTCCAGATGATCAGTAAGAAATCATTGCGTCTTTGATGTTTCCTGCATGTAGATGCAGCACGTTTGTTTATAGTCAGAAACAGTTTAAAAAGAAAGACAATACTTGACAATTTTGTTGTATTTTTTTGTTGTATTTTTTTTTTTTTTGGGGGGGGGGGGTTCTCCGAGGTGAGAGTGGGATGAGAGATTATTATCATTATTATTTTTATGTTGGGAGGGTGACTAGTCCAGTGACCGGGAGAGAGAAGAAAGGAAAGAGCATTAGAGGAAGAGAGAGAAAGAAAGACACAGAGAGAGGTGTGGGGGGTGGGGGTGGGGAGGGGAAGGTGCCGATATTTGGAGAAGGGCAGCGAGAGATGGAGATAGGCAGATCAGCCTCGTTTTTGAATCAAATTGTCATCACTCTACCCCCCCCCCCCCCCACACACACACACACGCACACAAACTTTTTTGCCACCGATTTAAATGAAGTGCTGAGAGGAAGAAGAAAATTCAGGATACAATATTTTTTATACTACTTATTGTTCACACTGACCCCTGCTCAGCACCTTGTTTTGAGAAATTAGACGTCAAAAAGTTTGAGTTTCACAACATGTGAAGCTTTTTTCCAATGCAATTCTTTGAATATTTTGATAACGACAACGAATAACCTTCAGATTTTTATAGAGGAGATAGACCATTTATTGCTGACCTCATTGTCTTAGTAACTCAAAAGGGTCAAAATTAACAAATACAGCTTTGTAATTCTAAGGTAACGAGTTGACCTATTTCTTCCAGTAGTACCGTTAGTTCATCAATAAACGTTTCTCCCAAAACAGAACACTCAAAGTGGAATAAAATATTATAACCTTTCAAAGGACGGAACCTCCCCCCCCCCCCCCTACTCCCGCTGCCTTTAACCCCTCCCCATACAAAACGAACCTCGTCCCACAGAGCATCAAGTCCCATAATACTAAAGAATTTGGCTGAGAGCAAAAAATATTCCTCAGAAGGACGCGAGAATAAGCCAATTAATAATATTATATCCAGGTTGGATTTTTTTACTCAGAATTCCCTGTCCTTGGAAATCTTCCGGTAACGATTCTTGTGCACTAGCGGCTTGGTTAGTTAGAGTTGACAGCTGTGAGTAAAAACAATACTTACGTCCAAACCCTCAGAAGAAAGTCTGTAGTGTTGTTGTCCCTGCGGCTAGGGAGTGCGAACATTCAACTTCCCCGCACGTACGATCAGCGTCCTGTCAAAATATTATACAAATCAGTAAATCGATACCTATTGACAAAATGTCATCGCCAGCGAGAAATTTCTATCATTAAACATTGGAGTAGTAGGCGTGAAACAGATGGCATGTAAGAAAATAAAAATACATGTTTAGATTATATATAAATAATGACTTTCGGGAGAGCTCTCGTCCCCTGTGTCCACTAATGGCGTCACGAGGCATTGATTCCACAGGTCACTGACCTGACAAAGTAAAGAAGACATTTATAGTAGCGTACACTCACTAAATGGTTTGAGTGTTGGTAGGAACATGTCTAGGCAAATTGTTTGATCCTTGATAGTACTTAAAGTGATAAAAATAACGGCAAAATAAATGATGATAATAATATTAATGATAAAAATAATATTGATACTAATAATAAAGTTAATAATGACACTACTACTACTACTACTACTACTACTACTACTACTACTACTACTACTACTACTACTACTACTAAT